ACCTGTATTTATATATTTATTTTGCTCTCCTCATGGCACAGAGCGGAAGACTCTCTCACTGACTAGTTGTGTAATATAATTACATAAACTTAGGAAAGTTACCTGACCTCACTGTTCCTCATCTTTTAATCTTTATTATGTGTCACCCACTGTGCCAGTTGCTCTGTTTCACTTATTGTCATGTAAATGTAAAAGGAGAGGCCAAAAAGCTTAAATAACTTACCCATGTGTCATGGCTGTAAGTAGCAGAGCCAGAATTCAAATACACATCTGTTTAAAAACTTTGCTGAGCACTACCAAAGCATAGTACCTCCCCTGACCACATTGCCTCTAGAGCATTAATTTGGTGAAGGTTTTTCATACTGCCACCCTCCATACACACCCCCACTGTGCCCCCAACTAACTGCTCTTACAGGTATGAATATGTAATATCCCGCTTAATAATGTCATCATTTTTTTTCCACGCCAGCAATCCTGAGGGATATGACACACTTACACTAGTGTCTTAACATGGCTTCTCAAAATATGAGTTTCAGGATCTGGGTGACAAGGAGCAAGTGTAATTTGAAGAATCCCCCTTCATGGGCAGCCCAGGTGGCTCAGTAGTTTAGCGCCGCCTTCTGCCCAGGGTGTGATCCTGGAGACCTGAGATCGAGTCCCACATCAGGCTCCCTGCATGGAGCCTGCTTCTCCCTCTGCCTCTCTGCCTCTCTCTCTCTCTGTTTCTCTCATAAATAAATAAAATCTTGAAGAATCCCCCTTCTTTAATGAGATCTAAATATGTACTAAAATATAACAATCTAGAGTATCAGCAAGACACTATTCTCAGCACTTCCCTTGTGTTCACTCATTTAATCCTCACAACTTTGAAGTTAGGTCTCTTATTATCATTTTACTGACTAAACTACTTAGATGCAAGGAGATTAAGTACTTTGCCTGGCTTATTGCTCAATTTTTTGCAAGGATGAACCATATACTCAGTGCTGTCCTGGTAGACTCCAACTTGGAAGGACACCTGGTTAAAAAATTCAGAGCTTAAATTACTACTACTGTCCCCATTCTCACTTCTCCTCCTCCTCCTCTTCTTCTTCTTCTTCTTTTTCTTCTTCTTCTTCTTCTTTTTCTTCTTTTGTTGTTGTTGTTGTTGTTCTTCTTCTTCTTCTTCTTCTTTTCTTCTTCTGATTTAATTTATTTGAGAGAGTGAATGTGTACAGAGTGGGGGTGGGGCAGAGAGAGAGGGAGAGAGAGTCCCAGGCAGACTCCACGGTGAGCACAGAGCCCACCGTAGGGCTCAATCTCATGACCCTGAGATCAGGACCTGAGTCAAAACCAAAAGTCTGTCACTTAAGGGACAGTGCCACCCAGGCAATCCTCTCACTTCTTTTCAAGTGTCAGTTTTCTTACAGGCTTCTAAACAAATAGCCCATTGACTTCTAGTTCTTTGCACCAGTAGATGCTTAAGAAATGTTATCTTGTGGTACCTGGGTGGCTCAGTCAGTTAATCATCCGACTCATGATTTTGGCTCAGGTCATGATCTAAGGTTCATGGGATCAAGCCCTAAGTTGGGCTCCCCACTCAGTGCAGAGTCCCTTTGGACTCTCTCCCTCTCCCTCCACCCCTCCCCACCCCCACACACTCTCTCTCAAATAAATAAATAAATACATCTTTTAAAAAAGAAAAAGAAATTATATCTGGTTAGCTTGAAACAACTAAGTGTTTGGCAAGAATGTGTAGTATAGTAGTTAAAAGAGTTCAGAGTCTCAAGTCTACCAGACAGACCTGTCCCACCACTTACTAGTTACATTAATGTAGACAAGTTACTTCACCTTCTTCCTTGACTGTGAAATTGGGACAATAATAATAATATCATCATGAGGGTAAACAGAGAAATGCTGTAAAGTCCATGGTACACAAAGTAAATATTAGTCGTTACTAGTAATAGTTAATGTGTTCTTTACTGAGCAGGTTTTCTCATGTGCTTTCTTACTCAAAACCTTTTTAATATAATTCTGTGGCTTGGCTTTGAGGCAGAGACTTTGGAAGTAATTTTAATCCTTTCAAATACCAGAATACCATTTCATACTTCCCTAAATTTCCTACATTAAGATTTAAGAAGTCTTAATATTAGGGGCACCTGGGTGGCTCAGTCACTTAAGCATCTGACTCTTGATCTCAGCTCAGGTCTTGATCTCAGGGTTGTGAGATCAAGCCCTGCATTGGAGTCCATACTGGGCATGGAGCCTACTTGAGGAAAAAAGTTTTTTGGTTTTTTTTTTAAAGATTTTATTTACTTAGAGAGAGAGAGCACAAGTGGATGTGGGGGGAGGGCAGAGGAAAAAGGAGAAGCTGACTCCTCGCTGAGCTGGGAGCCCAGTGCAGGGCTTAATCCCAGAACCCAAAGACCATGACCTGAGCTGAAGGCAGATGCTTAACCGACTGAACCACCCAGGCGCCCCAAGAAGGAGTCTTAACATGAAAGAGCAGCTACATTTACAGTAGTTCAACAAAGCAAGTTAGTACAGTTAATTTAAATGATACCGTCATAGTGCCTTCATTTTCATTGATCATTTTTTCAGAACATCTTTTTTGTTATGTACTTTATGAATTTAAAACATGACTAAAGATGAATTTCTTAATATGTACAGTATGTTTTCTGAGCCTGTTAATTCTTTAAGGAAATTAAAGGAAAAATAATGAAGACATGTTATACAGGTACTTAATTTTTTTTAATCTGTGGTAGTACTATGGTAATTAATGCTTATTTTATGCAAACTAGACTATATCTGTTAACGGACACATTACTGTCAAGAAAATATTACTTGTCTTAATTATCAGTAATGAAGCAGGGATAAGCTGCTCACTTAGATATAATATATCTAATGACCTTTTCAGTTAGAGGTTGTGATGAAAGGTATCAGTTTCACAAATTATGCTTCATTCAGCTTCTGGCCTTTGTGTAGATTAATGTTTTGTGGATGAGTTTTAAAGTCTGGCATAAATTGTGTTTGGTGTTTAAAATTGATTTAGTGTCTTGCTTTTAGTACATCATTTTCTCGTTTATAAAGCCTCAATTTTATCATCAAGCTTAAAAAAATAGTCCATAGTAAATCTAGGACACTTTGCTAACTGCCAATGTTCTTTTAACCTTACCAAATAAAACAGTACATATATTTACAATTGTTTAATCAAAGGACAAGTTTCTTTGTTATTTCTAAATTTAGGGCAATAAGTACAATCTTTATAATGACAGTTTTGAATTAGGAATATATTTATAATACTATTTTTCCTAATTAGATTTCCTGAGCTAACAAAAAGCTGGTTATTGTGATAGAATTCGTGATATATATCTTATCTCAGAGTACTGAAACATCATTCAAGGACTCAGATTTAGCCTTGTATTCAGACCAATAGGAAAATTGCTCCCATGTTTTATGTAATTAAGGATTTAAATTTTGGAGGTTAATGCAATGTAGCAAATGGTTTGCAGATTTTTTAGGCTATAAAACCCTTTCATTCTATGAAATCATATTAGAGACCCAACAAAGAAATCTAACAAAATTGGAGCTGCTCTGCTTGAATAGAAAGGTATTCCTATGGTAACTTGAAGGAATGCAGTACTCTCAAAGAGCAGATTTTTGATACTATGATCCTGTTGGTTCTATTATTAACAGAGCCCAAATACTAAAGCAGGAAAGAAGGGTACAGACCATCTTTTTCAACTCCCTCATTCTAACAATGATGCATCTAAAATTTAAAGATATAATGTGACCAGCCTAAGTTTCTGTGGTCAATACAGTGCTTTGATCTGAAATCTAAAAAATTTTGGGGTGAATGGGTAGCTCAAGTTGGTTAAGCATCTGACTCTTGATCTCAGCTCAGGTCTTAATCTAAGGGTCATGAGGTCAAGCCCTGCATGGAGCCTACTAAAAAAGTTAAAAATAAAAATTAAATCTAAAAAAAATTATAGTACTTACAATGATGGAATATCTTTCTTACTCTCTGTTGCCCTACTACTATAATAATGAATTTTGAAAACTCTTTGATTTAAAGAACAGTTTCCAAGTTGCCTCATCTTTGCATTAAAAAAAGCCATAGGTTTCCATTTTCAAGGACACAGTAAAGTGTCTTACTTGTCCCAAAACATTGACTATTTACTTCTTGCTCCGTTGCTCTTTTTGGAATTATGTAGAATGGTGGGTGCTGATTTTCCACTCTGGCTTTTCCAAGGAGCAGGAGTAGGACTGGGTCAACAGAGCAGGAATTTTCCTGTGCTATACTTAAATTCTTTCAGTTCCTCAAAGATGTATTCACACACGGTGTTCCCTCAGATTGAAATTCTCCATTTAACAGCTCCTCCAATCAGCTTAACTTGTATTTATCCTTCACGCTATGGTTTAAATGTCACTGCCTCCTTTGGGCCTTCCCTGATCCATCCACACCAAGTCTTGATTGGATACCACTCATTTGTGCTCTCACAGCATCCTTAACTGTCTCTTATATAAGCAGTTACCATGCTGCAGTGCAATTACTTCTATCATCCCCTTCTACACTTCCATAAATATAGAGACCACAAATGTCTTGTTCATCATTGAATCTCTAAGGTCTAGCAGAGTTTCTGACACATGGCTAGTGCCCTATAGCTAGCTGGGGAAGGAAGGGAAGGACAAAGACTCCCGTTTCCTCTAAAGAGGTAACGTGTTGAATGGAGTAAGTCTTAAACTGTCTTCTTGTTGAAGAACAGCCACCGACTTCCTATGTGACTTTGGAAGAGTTATCTACCTATAAACTTTTTTGTTTCCCTTTCCAGTAGGATGATAATACCTTCTGTGCCTAGTTTTTGTGTTCTTCCTGCAGAAGTGAAAGTTTTCTCTGTATCAGAGCTTTCTTCTCAGTTTCTGAAGTATAATGGAGGAGAAAGTCACTTTTTCCTTAAGATATCAGGTTAAAGACACTTCTCTTGGAAAATCGTTTCTTAAAAATCATCTTGTTTTTTTCCCAGGTCCCAAGAAATTGAATAATGGGCCAACTTCTTCATTCATAAATAAGCCCATGGACTTTTAATGGTGATGATATTCTTTAAGTGAAGTACTTGTGATTATTCTTGAGAATTTTTAGGATTTTATTTCTTTGTTTCTGCCTTGAGATAGTACTTATACAACTTATAATTTAACACATGTAGTAGGTAGCTATGATGGAATTATTGTCTACAGTGTAAAATGTCTTAACTTGTTTCAGTCAAAAATGAGGAATTTAAATGCACCTAATCGGGTCTCATCAAAAGCAGTACCACTCTCCCAATTATTAATTATATTTTATATTAGTTAGAGCAATTGATAAAGTGACTAGGGTACAAGTAATAGAAGAGGTAAGGGAATTGTCCCACTCATTTTTTTTCAGAAAGTTCAGAAAGAAAAAGTTAATTTCAAGAAAAAGACCCTTTAAACTTGAGTATCAGGGAAAATAAATTTTTTGAGAACTTTTAAGGGAAAATAATGCATGAACATAGCCAGAACAGCAGTTTATATTTAACAGAACTAAATGGCCACATTTTCAAGTAAAGTACGCCCTGGCATTTGAACAGCTGTTATATCTAAATCAGATTTGAATACTGTTGTTTAACCTTCCCAGCTGTAGCGGGGGTGGTTTGTTAGTCTAATTCAGTATAAAATATGCATAGTATACTTAAATTTGAAACTTTAAATACACATTTGTATTAAAATGATAAATTTTAGTCATATAAGCCTATTTTAGATAAGCTCATTATCTTTCTGTGAGTTATATATTCTTCTCAACTATATTGTATGTTTGCACAGATTTTAAACAATTAAAATATCCTCAAACTCTTTCCATGTGATTTATGGAGTTTTTTTGGTTTGTTTTTTTTTTTTTACTTTTGTGTTAGTAATGAACCAAAAATATATACATTTATCTACATATAATTGTATTGATGTATTCATAAAATAGTCTGAATTATATTTTTCCTTTATTTCTTTCTACCTGATTCTCTGACCGCAACCACATTTTCTTTACTAATACAGTCGTAGAAATGGAGTGAGACAAGGCAAAATAGGAAGGCAAAATAAAAGACCAGTAGTACTTCTTGATCTTACAGGGCTGAGGCTAAAAGGGGTTAAGATCAAAATACATATGACCATGTAACAGATGAACATAGTGAATTAAATTTTTCATAGAGTACTGCTATACTAGAAAATACTGCCTGGTGTTTGAAAAAGGTAAATTCGTAATAAACACAAATGCTCATAGGTATACATCACAATTGCATGTACACACACATACAGATACATACAGAAATAATTATGGATGTATCTGTATGTGTATGTATGTGTCTTTATGTCTTATATACATAGATATATTACCTAGCTTTGTCTTTGGGAAAGCTTACAAACAATAACAACTGAAGGAATACCCCAAGTACCCAGATACTGATTTCTAAATATCTTCCCTTGCTAATAAAAAAAAAGGCAGGGAGGGAAGGAGGTACCTCCAGGCAAAATAGCTAATTCTAGGGGTAAGGCACAGCACAGAAAGTGTAACATGAGACTAGAAGTTTTGTCAAAAAATAGGGAGGTACTCAGAGAATGATGAGGCCATAAGAAAAGGCACAGAAGCCACTTTGAAGAGGACCCTTCTAACCAAATCTGGGAAATTTGAGTTTCAAAGTAAATAATAGAAGATAACCCACTGAGTAGAATGGAAATCTATGCATCCATACTGCTACAGACACATACATACATACATACATACATACATGGACGGATACATAAAAAGAGAAACCTCTTTATAGTAGAATACCAAATAATAAACATCAAAGCAATGATGACATAGAAAATTACTATTTGACATTGCTTTGTCTGCTTCAGTTGGGAGTTTTCAATGGAGGCTCAGGTTGATCAGTGGGTTTGATGTCAGAATACTGACAGAATCTGAGAACATTGCCCTTACAAACTACTAATCAGTTACAAAGGGAAGAAGGGTGATTTTACAGTGGAAAACCTGATGAACAGAATGGCAGGTGACCATCACAGGTGGGTCGACATCATGTATAGCACATCACCTAGATGTGAAGCCCTAGAAGAGCAGAATATCATCTTAGTAGCTTCCCTGCCCAAAAAGCATGATCAGGAGGAAAAAGAAGATAGACCTACATTTATGTTTAGCCTACAGTAAAAGTCATGTGTTCTTGAAAACTGTCAACATGAGAGGCAAGGAGGGACTGAGAATATGAGAAGAGAATGGATGTTCTGATATTGCTGGGGCAATTGACAGAAATGAAAATGGGGTCTGTGGAATGGTGCTAGTGTCATATCATACTTTAACAATTGTATGAGAACTATGTAAGAGAATGTCCTTCCTTGGGAAATACCCACCGAGTATTTAGGGGTGATGGGAATCGTATATGCCGATTATTCTTAAATCGTTCAGAAAAGATTAATCATGGGTATATAAATATATTTGGAGAAGAATACCTATATTTTTTAAAGTATATCTATATTTAAAGGAAAATAATTTAAAGAAAGATGAAGCAAATGTTGTGAAGTGTTAAAAGTTGGGGAACCTTACTGTGAAGGATATGAGAATTTTGTTCTATTCTTGCATATTTATTTATGTTTGAAAATATTTCAACAAGTTAAAATGTTTGTCTAAAAGGTGATATAAGTATCTCAATCAAATACGTTAATATTTCTGCAGTAAAACTTATGAGTACTCACACAAGGCAGATTAATAAAAACTATAAATAGCTTTATGAAAGTTCAGGCTTTGCCACCAAATGAGTTAAGGTATTCACAGTATTTTAAATTTGGGGGGATTGAATATAAAGATAGTAGATCTTTGTAAGGTATCGGAGTCCCAGATAAGTATTCCTATATCACACATAGTGTAGGAGAACCAAGTCCAGAACCAAAGTCTCCTGATTCCCAATCCAGTAGCCTTTGTGTGACAGATTCCTGAAGGAAGATAGGGACATTTGTATTCAAAATCTGACCTTTGGGAATTCGTTTAGGAAAGTGTTAGATTTATAAAATGGTCCTTACATCCATATCATTGGTTTCACATAGAGGGCATGTTCCATGTTGCAATTTTCAAATTCATCTCAAAGAAGTATAAAAAAGCTTCTTCTTTTCCTCCCTTATTCCCAATAGGGTGATATACATGTAGGAGTGAGTACATTTTTTTCCTCTTCTCTCTGCCTCTCATCCCCTTCCCAGCTCTCTTACCCTGTAAGATTTTCTTCCTCTCTACAGAATTATAGCATAGACTTGGGCTTCAGTCACTACTTTTTTCTGATTCTGATTTACCAATCACTTGAATAAGACCTAACATGTTGAAGGATAATAACATACAATATCCTATTAGTTTTAGGGTTACATCATAGTAATTCATTATTTTTATACATTATGAAATGATCCCTACAATTAGTCTAGTTACCATCTATCACCATACAAAGTAATTACAATATATTGACTACATTCCCTGTGCCATACATTACATCCCCATGCCCAATGTATTTTAAAGTTTTATTTATTTTTTAAAAGATTTTATTTATTTATTCATGAAACACAGGCAGAGGGAGAAACAGGCTTCAGGGAGCCCAATATGGGACTCGACCCTGGGGCTCCAGGATCACGCCCTGGGCCGAAGGCAGGAGCCAAACCACTGAGCCACCAAGGGATCCCCTGTTTTAAAGTTTTAAATAGCCATTGACTTGAACTGTTGTATTAAAAAAAAAAAAAAAAAAAAAAAAACTTCTCTCGAACATGTTTCTCCCTATACTATTTTGTATAGTTAACACTTTTGTACTCAAGGATTTCCTTTTCCTCTTTTTAGTGTCCTTGTCTTATCAGGAAAAGAAATATTTTGGGATATTTTCAGTTATATAGCCAATATGGATAAGTCCATTTCAAGGGTTGCATGCTATTATTTAAACTGTCACAATTGCTTAAGTAGGCTTTTAGTAAGCTGCTTCTATATCTTAATATTTTTATTCTTCAAATCCTTTTAAAAGATTTTTCTGGAAATAACCAAGAATTGTTACAGTCTTGCTACTTAAATATCTACATGATTAAAATAAGATTGTTTATGAGTAAAAGTATGCCATTGCCTTAATTAACTTCTAATGTCTTTCAACTTATCTTATGCCCTTAGATTGAATATCAACTGTTAGCACAGTAGGAAGCAAATAATATACTTATAATATATATTATTATATATATAATATAATTATATTTATAATTATATAAATTATATAATTATATTTCTGTCTATTCTAAATTTTTCTTATTTAGTAAATAAAATTATAATTGCATTTCCCAAGTAAACTTCCTTAGTCTCCCATAATTGCATAACAGGTATCTGGGGTTATAATAAACATGTTAAGACAGAAGGGTTTTGAATACTAACATTCTAAGATTTTATTTAAATAATTAGGCTTGAGGGACGCCTGGGTGGCTCAGTGGTTAAGCGTCTGCCTTTGGCCCGGGGAGTGATCATGGAGTCCTGGGATTGAGTCCCCGCCTTGGTCTCTCTGCATGGAGCCTGCTTCTCCCTCTGCCTGTGTCTCTGCCTCTCTCTCTATCTTTCATGAATAAATACATAAAATCTTTAAAAAATAATAATAATAATTAGGCTTGAATTAAAAATATATGTAGGAGAAGAGAGGAATGGCAATTTTTTATTTACTGTATATGGAATTTCAGTTGGGATAATAAGGAAGTTCTAGAGATGAGTAGTGGTACAACAGTGGAAATGTACTTAATGACACTGAAATATACATTTAAAAATGTTTAATGATAAATTTTATGTTTTGTATATTTTATCACTATATATATTTAAAATCTCATACATAGATTTTCATCTGTATGTGTTTCTTCCTTGTCATGGGCTTTTGCCAGCATTTAGCCTTTTTTTTTTTTAAGATTTTATTTATTTATTCCTGAGAGACACAGAGAGAGAGGGAGAGAGGGGCAGAGACACAGGCAGAGGGAGAAGCAGGCTCCATGCAGGGAGCCTGACATGGGACTCGATCCTGGGTCTCCAGGATCACACCCTCAGCTGAAGGCGGCGCTAAACCGCTGAGCCACCCGGGCTGCCCCCAGCATTTAGCCTTTAACCATAACATATGCTGTTTATTCACTTAATATATGTTACATTTTCATTCTATGTTAGGTATATATTCTGAGTGTAAAAAATTATTGAAAGTTATTTTTTTAATTGACTCCACCATATTCTTTAGTTATGTGATCTTACATAAGGTACTCAACTGCTCTAAACTTCAGTTTTCTTATGTATAAAATAAGGATAATAATACCTATTCAAAAGGCTGTTACGAGGAGTAGTTAACATAAAAATTTTTATTGGGAAAATGAATGTTATTCATGTAAAGCACTTAGCACACAATAAAATGCATAGAAAGCTCTTGAGAAATCATAAGTGCTAGCACTTTTTATTAAACATTGCAGGGGCACCAGGCTGGCTTTCAGAGAAGTATGCAGCTCTTGATCTCAGGGTTGTGAGTTCAAGCCCCACAATGGGTATAGAGATTACTAAAATAATAATAATAATAATAAACTTTGCAGTTATTTTTGCATCTGTTGCTTGCATTTCAAGTCTGTCTTTGGGGCTGATATATGGGTTATATCTTATAGTAACTGCCTGTAGTCTCTTTGTTTACTTGACTTGCTAAACATGACACACAAAAAGGATCCCCTGACCCTGTGTTTGTCTCTTTGGACCCCTTCAGCTTTCCAGGCATTGCACCAGTGGCTTAGTCAACAAGCCCACTA